GCTGCGGCACCTGCCGGGCCTGAGCTGCGCAGCCGCAGCGACAGGCGACGGGCTGGTGGCAGCGCCTCGAAGTGGAAGCGCTCGGCCCAGAAGAGCTGGCCTGGGCTGGCCCGCGGTGCGGTACGCGCCAGCAGCGCGCCGTCCAGCCACAGCTCAGCGCGCACGCCGGGTGCCCCCGTGGTCGCCGCCCGGGGCAACCCCTTCGCCTCGTGCACCCACACGCTCAACCACGTCTCTTCGCGCTCCACGTTGTCCTGAGGGCGGGAGTGGGTGGTGGTGAAGGGCAATGTTTCGCAGGCGTCGGCACTCCAAAGCCGGCACCGCTGGAGAAGCTCGGGGCCGCGAACCCCGTGTGCCTTGCACCCTGGGAGATCGCTGGGCCCCAGGAGGAGGACGGGGCCATGGAGATCCAGAGGTGGCTATGCAGGCTTCTAGCTTTTTGGGGGGCAGATCTTCTGGAGAGATCGGGGCACCAGGGCATAGAGGGGTAGCCTTGGGGTGAGGGCTTGACGCTACTTGATAAGTGCGACGTGGGGTGCAAATAGTGAGTGGACTGAATAGAAGAGGCGGGTCTGATATGCGGGGACTGTGCAGAAACAGATGGTAGGGGACTCCAGGAGTTGCAAATGTGCAGGCAGAGCAGGTGTGTTTCAGGGGAGGGGCTATGGTGCGAGCTGGATTCCGGTAGAATAGAAGGGGCGGGGCCTAGCTTATGGGCGGTGTCTCCGAGTCCGGCTTCTTCCTGGCACTCACCTGGCTGGGCTGGAATTGGCGACGAAGGTCCTCGATCCAGCGGTCTCTCTCAGCACCCGAGCGACAAGAAAAGCAGCGGCTCCCGCCGGTCCACGTTACCTGTTGGGGCGCGGGACCCGATCCAAGAGTTTAGTTGAGGCTAAGGGTGGAGTCAAAGGGCCAGGCGTGGGACCCAAGGTGGAGGGTTGCTTGCATATACCTGGAAACAGTGGGGCTCCCCCAGGAGGCTGGGGTGCAGAGGCCAGACCCGCACGTCCCGCTCGGCACCCAGGTCCAACTCGGAGAGTGTGGCCAGCGATTCCCTAGAGCCGAGAGCACTGGGGGGTCTAAGGGAGAACAGTGGAGAAAGCAATCATTCCCTCCCCTGTCTCTCCCCACTCCAACCTGAAGGGTAGAGGAAGGCAAGGGACTTGATTCTAAATTGGATCTTGTCCCTCCCCTCTCATAGTGACTCCCCTGTCCACCATAGTGGGGGGCCCTTGTCACCTTCGACCTTATCTCTCTCCACCTAACCCTTCACTTTCTGAGCTCCAGTCGCCCTAGCTATCCTTGTTTTTGTCCCTTTCTGCCTCTTAGCTTTTCTACTTGTTCCCTCTGCCTGGAATGCTGTTCCTGGCCCATCTTGGTCTAGTCAATTTCCATCCATCCTTCAAATCTCAACTGAAGGGTTCCTTCCTTGATCCTCCCAGAGCAGGATCTAAGAGCCGGCTCTGTAACAGGGTCTTTGTGGTCCTAGGATCCCCTGACATGGAGTAAAGTACAGAGGACCCACAGTCAGTAGGAGAGCAGGTGAGAGTGTTGAACCCCAGCCCCATCAGCTCCCCCAGCTCTTCTAGCTCCTCAGAAACCCTTACCCATCTCTGGAGGCATTGGTTCCCAGCTCCGACCTGGACTTTTTCTTCTCTTTCAGTCTCTTGAGTAACCCCTGGAAAGGAGGGGGATATCAGCAGGGCAGGACCTCTGCTTCCTGCTCAGATCCTTCCCACCCAGGGTGATCCAGATGATCTGTTGGTCTTAGTGCACCAAGTTGAAACCCAGACTTTACCAGCAGCAAAAACAAACAAACAAACAAACAAACAAATAAAATAAAAACCAACCAGCAGCTCACATGTATAAAGCATCAATCATCCACTTTCCTGCCATTCTCCATTGATTTCTCATAAAACAAGAGACAGAAATTTCCTCATTACCTCTACTTGACAGATAGCAGACACTGAGACCCAGAGAGGGCCCCAGATCTCCCAGGAGCATCCAGAGCACGCTTTCAGCTCTGAATATCTGGAAGTCCTTGCTTACCATTGCCCACATCCCCTTCCTCCTCCCATCCCTTCCCACAGGCTGCCTCACCCGCACATTGTGGACCTGGTTGGAGCCAGCAGCTTCTGGCTCTGTCTTTCCAGAGGTCCGATCTGTGGGTGGTCAGAGTTGGGGGGTTGAAATCATCTGAGATCTAGCCCCCCTTTGCAAGGCTTCCAAATACCCCAGCCTCTCTCACCTCCCAAACTTACCTGGGTCTCTGAGGTTCCCCATGGATGCTTGCATGCTGCCCTCTGAGCTAGCGCTGCCCACCCGGGGCCGACGAGGACCCTGCTGTCCACAGGAGTGAGCAGTGAGAAAGAGACAGGCAAAGGGAAAGGCAAATGCAATCCTCTTATTCCCTCCACCCCCCCCACACACCTCTGTTCTGTTCCATTCCCTCTCCCTCCTTCCCTCCCCTTGCCCATGCACCCCACTCACCTCCTCCTCACCCCCAAGCAGCACCAGTCTTCCATCAAGCAGGGTGAAGCCCCCAATGTCCCAGACAGGCACATCAGGAGTGGGGGCGTCAGGTATTTGTGGAACAGGTGGCTCTGGCTCTGGCTCTGGGAAGAGGATGGGGTGTTGGGAGACCTTAGAGCACCTTTCTTCTCCCTCAGGCCACCCTCTTTATATACCAAGGCTCATCTGAGGTTCCCTCTTAGATGCACACTCCAGCAATCACATCATGTATGCTCTTGGGTAAGTCCCTGTCTCTCTCTGGATTTTATTCCCACCAACTACACAGCACACCTACTTTGCAGTACTGCGGTTTACCACTCCCATTCATTCTCTCACTCAATCTTCCAAAAGCCACTTAAAGGGGCATTTTTAATTTTATTTTTGCACTGCTGGGGATTGAACTCAGGGCTTCAAGCAGGCTAGGCAAGCACTCTACCACTGAGCCATCTCCAGCCCCTAAAGGGCTATAACTGAGACCCAAAGCTGGTGTGGAGATTTATGCCTGTAATCCCAACTACTCAGGAGGTAGAGACAGGAGGATCAGAGTTTGAGACAGCTCAAGCAAAGGTGTCTATCTATCTATCTATCTATCTATCTATCTATATGTGTGTGTGTGCATATATGTGCATTCATATATATACATACACATATACATATACAAATACATATACATATACAACAGAAACAAAAAGAAGTGGGGACATAGCTCAAGTAGTAGAGTGCTTGCCTAGCATGCACAAGGCTCTAGACTCAATTTCCAACACTACATAAAACAAATGAAGCAAACAACCTCTCCAAACAAACAAACAGAAACATCTAAAGTCCAGAGAGGTTGAGTGACTTGCCCAGTATCACACAGTTTGTGAGTGGTTGAACTGGGCTTTCATACCCAAACATTCTTCTCTTAATCAAGACAGTGAATAGGTCTGAGAGAGTAAAAAAAAAGGACAGAAATCTTGGTTGCTGACCTAAATAACTAATCTAACTATTCAAAGTTTGAGAAAGGGACAGGAAAAAAGTTCAGGGTTGGGGAGGTCTCTGTCTTGGGGGAGAAGGGGTGGACCAAGGAAGGCCTCCTAGAGAGAGTGAACTTGTATTAAGTCTTGGGTGGAAGGTTGGAGTCCATCCAGCAGGAGGGAAGAGAATTTAGCAGGGAGAGCCTGAACAAAGGCTGGGAGATGGACAAGGCCTAGGGAAATACAGGGAAGGGCAAAAAAGGGCTTGAGGGCTCAGAGGCTGGAAGGAAAGTTCTAGGAAGACAACAGTGCAGGGTTTTGGCACCAGGTGGAGGAACAGTCCCAGCCTGACAACTAGGGTTTTGTCCTGGAGGTAGTGGGATGCCATGGGAGGTGTTTGAGTAGAGGAGGAGCAAGTCTGCTTGTTAGAGAGCTCTCTCTGAGTCTGATGCAGTGGGTAATCACTGACACCCTGGGGTTGGGGGGAGTTTGAAAGGATGCCTCTATAAAATGAAATATAGATGGTAGGTCAGAAGCAGTGGCTCATGTCTGTAATCCTAGGTATTTGGGAGGTGGGGATCAGGAAGATGGAGGTTCAAAGTCAGCCAAGGCAAAAAGTTAGTGAGACTCCATCTCAAAAAGTCAGAGATGCTGGGTTGCCTGTCATCCCAGTTATGAGGGAAGCATAGGTAGGAGGATGTGAGACCCTACCTGAAAACTAACCAAAGCAAAAAAGGGCTGAGGGTGTAACTCAACTGATAAAGTGCCTGCCTAGCAAGCATGAGGCCTGAAGTTCAAATGCTACTACCACAAGGAAAAAAAAAAAAAAAGGTGAGAATTAAATGAGCTTCCAGGAAATAGAAGGGCTGAATCAACTCTCCTAGCTGAACTTCTCTCTCTCTCTCTCTCTCTCTCTCTCTTTCTCTCCTTGTTTTACCACTTGGGGCAATAACATGATAACCCCTCCATTCTCCCTCTCTGGGATGAACCCAGGGCTTCACATGCCAGGCAAGCACTCTCCCACTGAGCCACAATCCCTGCCCTCACTCCTTATTAGTGGATCTCTTACAATATGTTGGCCTCAGGCTACATTCCTGAGCTCTAATCCTCACATCTCCATTCCCCTTTCAGGTTCCTTTGCATGGCACTTGGCACCATCTGTCATTTTCTTGTTGACTTTTTTTTTTTTTTACTGTCTGTCATCCCCCACCATGCTGTGAGTTCCAGGGTATCATCTGTGTCCTCAATGCCTCAAACAGGGACTGGCACACATTAAGTGCTCAACACCTGCTTGAGGGCTGGCAGAGTGGCCTGCCTAGCAAGCATGAAGCCCCGAGTTCAAACCCTAGTACTGCAAAAAAAAAAAAAAAAATTAAACCCCTGCTTGAATGAATGAATATGAATTCATTTCATGTTTAACTGATGGGGAAGTTGAGGCCCAAGGAGGTGCAAAAGTAAGACACGAAGCTAGAAGGTAGGAGAGCAGCAGCACCCCTGACAGAAGAAGAGTCTGAGCTGGACTCTGGTGGCTCATGCCTGTGATCCTAGCTACTCAGCAGGCAGAGATCAAGCGGACTGTGGTTCAAAGCCAGCCCTGACAAATAGATCATGAGATTCTATCTTGAAAATACTTAACACAAAAAGGGCTGGTGGAGTGGCTCAAGGTATAGGCCCTGAGTTCAAGCCCCAGAGCCGCAAAAAAGAAGAAGAAGAAGAAGAAGAAGAAGAAGAAGAAGAAGAAGAAGAAGAAGAAGAAGAAGAAGAAGAAGAAGAATCTGGACCATTGGATACAGAAGAGACCCACTGGAGGCAAGAGCCAGTTGGCATCTGGAGATAGTCCATTTCCTGTCCCTTCCTCAGACTGGACTCCCTGCTCTCAGATCCCCAGCATTTCCACTTCACTCTTGTTTAGGTGGAAAGAGGGAAGAGGGCTGAGAGGGGCCCTAGCCACTTCCTTCTCGCCTTCTGCAGTCCCCACAACTTCCTGTGTCTAGAGGGCTTGATGCTCTGGTGGCAGACAGAACCCAAGCATCCGGCCACCCAGCCGGGGCCCCAACTCAGGGTGGGGGAGCAGGTACCTGAGGCCTGTGGCTCGGGCTCTGGTTCCAGCGCTGCGTTCTTGTGCCTCCCCCAGAGGGTCTTGGATAGCCGGAGGCGACTGGTCCGTGACTCCTTGGGAGGTGCAGACAGGACCCGACGGAACAGCGAGCGAGGTGCTGGCTGGCTGCTAACTATGGGCTCCTGGTGGCTCAGTGCCCTGCCCCAGCCGGCAAAGCGACCCCAGCGGAACCCACCAGCCCCCTTTTCCCCGCCACCTCCTGTGTGCCAGCGGTAGGACGTGATCAGAGAGGGGGCTGAGGACTGGGTTTGGGAGGCCTGGCTTGGCGGCGGTGGGTTCATGGCGCAGGCTCTGTTGGGAGATGACAGAGGATCAGTTCTGCCCAGTGTCTCCTCACATACCATTCTCATCTTGCCCTTCTGTCCGTTCTCAGCTCTGCCTCCAGGGAACCCAGTTGGTGGTGGGTGACACACGCACTCCCTCCTCTTACCTTAATTTCCTGGCTAGCTCCAGGATCAGTAGTCGCCTGCACCCTGCCTGGCTTCCTCCCGCGGCACCCAACCCCACGTGACCCTGTCTGTCCTGTCCCACCCCACAGCCAGGCTGGGAGGGCATGGTGGGGCAGGATGCAGCGGTGGGGGTGGAGGAGAAGTGGCAGTGTCTGATTCTGGCAAGAAGGACTTAGAAGGCAGCCCTTTCTCTGAACCTCAGTTGCTTTCTACATACTGAATAAATGTTGGCAAAGATACTGAGTTTCCATCCTGCTGCGACTCGCCTGTGTTGGAAAATGGCTTGGTTGTGAGTGATCTCCTGATAGAAATGAATAATTTTTTTTGAGGGGAAGGTGATGGGAATAGAACCTAGGACATGCTTGACAAATGTTCTACCTTCTGACCCAGCAATTTCACTGCTAGGTAAACCCTGGATAAACACGCCCACCAGCACTATTCTTAATGGTCCCCAAGTGGGAAACAACCCATGAGTCCACTTCTAATAGAATGAATAAACTGTGGTGTCTACCCACAGACCAAGGCCATACAGCAAAGAAAACTAACAAACTCTTAAATGAATGACTTGGATGAATCCCAATCTTGAACCAGCAGACAAGTTGAAAAGCCAAAAAGCAGTGAGGAGTACACACTGTGTGAGTCAATTGATACAAAGTTCCGGAGAAGGTAAAACGATGTGTAACAGCTCAGGGTATCGGTTCCCTTTTGAGGTGCTAATGACTGGGTGGACTTTTGGAAGCTGAATGTGTGGTTTTGTTTTGTTCTGTTGAGACAGGGTCTTGCTATGTAGTGCACGCCAGCCTGGAACTCAAAATCCTTCTGATCCACCTTCCAAGTGCTAGGATTATAGGCTCAGTTTTGTGTGTGTGTGCACATTGGGTATTTTTGAGATAGGGTCTCGCTTTTTTATTTTTTTTCTTTTGCCTGAGATGGCCTCCTGAATAGCTAGGATTATAGGTGTGAGCCACCAGCATCCAGCAGTACTAGGGTTTGAACTCAGGGCCTTAAACTTTCTAGGCAGGTGCTCTACTGCTTGAGCCACATCTCTGGCCCTTTTGGTGTTAGTTATTTTTCAGATAGGGTCTCTTGTTTTTGCCTGGGGTGACCTGAGATCTTGATCCTCCTATTTAAATGTCCTGCATAGCTTGGATGACAGGTGCTTATCACTACTCCAAGCTTGGTTGAGATAAGTTTCAGTAGTTTTATTTTTTCTTTAATGGAAGTGAAATTCATACCACACAAATATAACATGTTCTATTTTTTCACTTGAGTGCGAGTTACATGGGTGTGTTGTGCTGCAAAAATTCATCAAGATGTATGCTTTGGTGTACTGTTTTATCATTATCTTTCACGCCTCAATAAATGTTTACTTGAAAAACAGAGGTGGGCAAATTGCTGTTCTGAAAAATAAGTGAGTCAGCATCATTCTGGCCCAGGAACCAGACAGGAGTGGGTCAGAGTGCCAGCTGGCCTCTCTCTCACTGTGTGACCTCAGCCAAGTCACTTCCTCTCTCTGAGCCTCGGTTTCCTTATTTGTACAAGATGATAATATCAGTTTCAGAAAGTTCATGGTATGAGCCTTTGTTTATTTGACAAACATTTCCCGAGTGCCTACTATGTGCTAGGTGCCCAAGAAGCCACTGGGAACTAAATAAACTTGGTTTCTGCCTTCCTGGAGCTCATAATCTAATGAGGGAGACAGATCCAGAATGCAAACACAAGACATGGCAAGGTGGTAAGGAGAATTTAGAGGGAAATGGATATACTGGAGTATGAGCTCAGCAGAAGTGCCATTCTTTGGGCTGGAAAAATCAGGGAGGGCTTCTGTGAGGAAGTGACCTTTGCAACTTAAAACATGAGAAGGAACCAGATCATACCAGGTAGAACAAACAAGTTTGTGCAAAGTCAAGGATCACAAGAATCCATGGAGTGTGGGATGTGGTGGTGTATGCTTGTAATCCCACTTACTTGGTTGGCAGAGATAGGAGGATACAGGTTCAAGACTAGCCTGAGCAAAAACTTACCAAGACCCTATCTCAAAAACCCAGTTGGCCAGGGTGCAAGTTGCTCAGGACTGTAATCCCAGCTACTCAGGAGGCAGAGATCAGGAGGATCAAGACTCAAGTTAGTGGTACTGGGGCTTGAATTTGGGGCCTTCACCTTGAGCCATTCCACCAGCCCTATTTTTGTGAAGGTTTTTTTTGAGATAGGGTCTCACAAACTATTTACCCAGGCTGGCTTCAAACTGCAATCCTCCTGATCTCTGCCTCCTGAGTAGCTAGGATTACAGGTGTGAGTCACTGATGCCCAGCTGGTAAATAGTTCTTAAGACCCTATCTTGGAAAAACTATCACAAGAAAGAGCTGATGGAGTGGTTCAAGGTGTAGGCCCTGAGTTCAAACCACAAAAACAAACAAACAGAAAACCCAATTGGGCATGGTCCCAGGCTAGACTGGGCAAAAACATCAGACTCTATTTGAAAAAGCACAAGGGCTGGGGACATGCTCAAGTGGTAGGAGTGCCTGCCTAGCAACCTCAAGGTCCAGAGTTCAATCACCAGTACTGAATCAATCAATCAATCAATCTTTTGTGGAGAGTGGATTATGAGAAGCCTATGAGAACTGGACATAAGCAAGGTGAGATGCGACTCATCTGCTTTTCCTAAGATGTTTTTGTAGGCTGAGATTGGCACAGCCCTGGCTGCAGAAGAGGAAAATGCAGAACAGCTGCTTTTCCTAAGTTTATGTTCAGAGAGGTAGAACTCAGGTTTCTCCTGTTACAATGTCACACCCCTCCCTGAGAACTGCTGCTCCTCCTTTTTACCACTGGATATAAAAGACTTGCTGAAGGAGGATGTGAGGCTTTTGCTTTTGGCTTTTTGATGGGGAAGGCTTTTGGCTTTTGGCTTTTGGGCTTTTGGCTTTTAGATGAAGGGAGGTTTTTTGATGTGGGAGTCTTTGGAAGGGAAAAGGATTGCTAAAGGGAAAAGAATTGCTGAAGGAAAAAGGATTGCTGAAGGGAAAAGAATTGCTAAAGGGGGATTGCTAGCAAGTCTGAGGGACGAGATTTTAAGAAAGCTAAAGAGAGAACATGGGACAGTGCAAGTCTAGGGGCAAAGACTTTAAGAGAGATTGTGCTAAAGAAAAGCTAGGAGAAAATATGGGACAGTGCAAGTCTAAGGAAAGAGGCTTTAAAGAATATGAAGCAAGGTTTTAAAGAAGACTTTAGAAGCAAGATTTTAAAGAACTGTAAAGGAGTAAGGCCTTAAAGAATAAAGATAGAAGCAGAGTAACTGAAGAGAATAATAGAGAAAAGAAGCAATGAGGTAGTTGTGTGTCTCCACCCCAGTGCCCAACACACCTGATCCCACTTTCTGTCTGTCTGCTATCCTGTGTCATTTCTGCATCTCCCATCATTGCCCAGTTAGCCCCCGTTTTATTCGGTAATAACAGGAGCGAGAAAAAGCTCGCTCCAATCATTCGATGAATAACTGGTGTGTAGGGAACTATTAAGCCTGAGACAATATGGTGGAACACAGAGAGGTTTGACACAAGTATACCGTGAGAGGCCTTAGTGTGGTGGGAATGGGAGGGGTCTATCTGGGGTGTATATACAGCTGCATAAACCCATCTGCCTCCAGAAGACTCTTTGGCCCTTATTAAAAACAGCCCACACCTTGGGCTTGGGTGCAGCTCAATGGTAGAGTGTTTTCTTAGCATGCATGAGGCCCTAGGTTAAAAAAAAAAAGGAATAAAGAAAGAAAAAGAAAAATACTCCCAGCTTCATTTACTTATTTCACGTTGTATATGCATACCGTAATGTTACATTGCACCCCACAAATATATATGATTATAATTTGTCAATTAAAAATAATAATAGGCTGGGCACTGGTGGCTCACAGCTGTAATCCTAGCTAACTCATGAAGCAGAGATCAGGAGGATCACAGCTCCAAGCCAGCCTTGGGCAAATGGTTCAAGAGACCCTATCTTGAAAATGCCATCATAAAACAAGGCTGGTGGAGTTGCTTTAGTGGTACAGAGCCTGCCTAGCAAGCATAAAGCCCTGAGTTCTAACTCCAGTACTGCCAAGAAAATAAATAATATAAAAAAAAATAGGAGCTGGGTGTCATGGCCTACACCTAGCACTTTGTAGCCAGCCTGGGCTACATAGCAAGACCCTGTCTCAAAACACCAGAAATAAATAAATAAAATTAAGTAAAAATAGGGCTAGGGATAGAGCTTAGCACTTTCCCAGCATATGTAAGGTCCTGAGTTCTATTCCCCAGCACTAAAAAATAGTAAATAAATATTTTTTTTTTTTTGCAGTACTGGGGCTTGAACTCAGGACTTGAGCCACTCCACCAGCCATTTTTAGTGAAGGGTTTTTGGAGGTAGGGTCTCTCAAACTAGTTAGCTGGGCTGACCTTGAACTGTGATTCTCCTGATCTCTGCCTCTTAAGTAGCTAGGGTTACAGGCGTGAGCCACCAGCACCCAGCAAAACTAATTTTTTAATTAGCTCAGAATGGGCTACAGAGTTTTCAAGATCCTGTGAAAAATAAATTAACAGGATCTGTGGTTCAAAGCAAGAATTTCAAGACAGCAACAACAAAACCAAGTGTGGGGGCCTCCTGAGCCAAGGGACCTTTGTCCCTGCTCTATGTTCATGGAGCCAGCCTTATTCTCCCAACTCCATGGATTCTTTTTTCTTCTTCTTCTTCCTTTTTATGTATATCTTTTTGTAGTATTAAGGATTAAACTCAGGACCTTGCATTTTCTGGGCAAGCGCTCTACAACTTGAGCCACACCTCTAGCCCTTTTTGTCTTAGTTTGTTTTTCAGATAGACTTTCTTGTTTTTGCCAGGGCCATGGACCACAATCCTCCTTCCTTTGAATCCCAAATAGCTGGGATTACAGATGTACACCACCATACTTGGCATCCTTGCCAGCAAATGAAGTTTGATCTGTCCCTGTGACAAGCAGCCCGAAAGTGTCACACTCCTTGAGTGTGACCCACTTCCCTTGCCTCCTAAGTGGGATGACTCTGAGCAGTTGTCCTCCAGTGGGACTGAACTTTGGTGGCCTGCGTGGGAACTTGCTTGCTAACACATCTTTTCCTAGCTGCTTTTCCTCATTCCCCAACTGAAATGTCCTGGGATCACCTCTCAATCAACTACTTGTCCTGGAATTTTTAATTTTTTATATTTTACTAAACATGGGATGGAGCCCAGGGCCTCATGCATGCGAGGCAAGTGCTCTACCTCTGAGCTACATACATCCCTAGTCCTTTGTACTGGAATTCTTGTCTAGGGTCTGCTTCTAGCCCAAGCCAAACAAAGACAAACACAGATGATATAAGAACAGAGACTATTTTTTTCCACAGTCCCTTTATTGGAGATCAGTGGCTGCTGGTAGGACCATCAAGGGTAACACCCTCCTGGGTCTCTGAGAAAGCCTCCTGGTAGTCCTTAGCTTTCAGTCTAGAAGAGACAAGGCAGTGTGAGACTTGGGGGTGGGAGTAGCTGGGTCTTCCCTCCTCTTGATGGGACCTTGGATGAGGGTAAAGGATCAGGACCCAAAGTAAGGGAGTGGGTAGAAAGCTGGCTGCAGACCAGGGTGGGCAGGTCAAAGGCTTAATGAAATGGAGTGACAGGATGCAGGTAGCTCTAGATTGTCAGTTATCAAGGGCAGGTACTGGATAAAGGCCTTAGGCAGATAATGTGCTGGCTGGATCTAGATCACTTTAATCTTACAGTTGGGGGTCAGAGAGTCAAAAGCTAAGCAAGCATCCTTAGCATTGAGATTTTCTGAGCAACACAAGATCGGGGGCTGGGTACAGGTTGTACAGGCAAAGAAGTTTGGGGTAGACAGTCATAGGCTAAGTTAGTGTGGATAGGGCCATAGGTGAGGCTGAGGTTGGGTCGGCTGGGTTAAGGTAGAGCAGGCAGAAGGGTTGTGACTTGGGTATGGGTCATAAGAGGCCAGGCTGAGGTTGTGTGCCCAGAGGTTGGTAGCAGGGATCAGAGCCATGCCCTGGTTGACAGGTCAGAGGCGTTGGGGAACTGGGCAAAGGGCAAGCTAGCTGGGTGAGGGGCAGGACTGAAGTTCTGTGGGCAGAAGTCACAGGATGGGGGGTGGGGGCTGGTGAATGTTGCAGGCAGTGAGTGACTGAAGGCTGGGCCTGGATTGTCTGAACTACAAGGAACATCAGCCTGGTTGAAGCTAGGAAGACGCAGGGCAGACAGGCAGGGGTCAGGCATTACACTAAGCCTGCATACACCGGGTGTGGTGTCCTGGTACTGAGGACGGATGGTGCAGACTCACCTCGGTGAAGTGTGGCCAGGTGCGCAGCAGGCCAAAGAGCGCGTCGCCGGGGCAGTCGGTGTGCACGAGCTGGCGGTGGCCGAGCACCTTGTAGTCTGGTCGCAGAAGGCCTGCGCGCAACGCGCAACTCGGCAGCTCATCGCGTACGGTGCGCAGCGCGGCCTCAGTGGGCAGTGTCGCCGTGTAGTTGCCCACGAAGGCCACGCCGAAGCCCCGAGAGTTACGGCCGCGCGTGTGTGCACCCATCCGGTGCCAGCCGCGGCCCTCGTACACGTAGCCATCGGAGCCCACCACGAAACTGCAGAGGGGAGAGGGCAGGAGGCACCAAGTGGAGTGAGGGGGGCCCCGCCCCCCAGATTCTGCCACTGTGCTTTAGAGCCATCTTCCCCAAGTTTCGAGGATGCAGACACACTATCCCTGTTCTGTCCACCTCAGTTCCACTCCCACACCAAGTGTCACCCCAGAAACAGTCCTGTCATGTTGGAACCATCCCTCAGCATTGAACACGCCCATTTTAAACCAACCCCCCGCTCCCCCCTCCAGCTTGTTCTCAAGTTCATCTCTTGCTCAGTTCACAGTCTTTTTCTGCTTTAGGTCATCTCTGCCCCACCCCAAACCCAGACCCTAACACAGGCCCCATCCTTCCATCAGGGCCCGCCTACTATCCTGGTTCTCTTCCCTGACCCAAGAGTCCCACTGTTTAGCTGTTTCTGGGCCTTATTAAGGCCCCGCCCCTAGTATAGACCACGCCTCTTTTCTTGGCCCCCACCCACCACAAGCTGGCCCATCCCCCCGATTTACAGGCCCCGCCCCACTCACTCTACTCTTGCCCTGTGGCCCCGCCCCCGAGGAGCCAGGCCCCGCCCACCTGTAGCCAATGTCGTCCCAACCCTGTGTGTCCTGGTGGAATCGTTGCATGGAGCGCATGTTGGCTGCGCAGCGCGCAAAGGTGGTGCAGGGTGACGCAGGCACGTAAGTGTGATGTACATATAAGAACCCAAGCGGCAGCTGCAGTGGCGTAGGGCGGCCCTTGTATGGCGCAGCTCCCCAACGACAGCGGGGGTGGATGGCCGGGCATTCTGTGGTCAAGGGATCAACACGCATTTCCTTCCTGCATCCCCCATTAAAGCGCACTTACCAGGCCATCCCTCCAGCCTCCTCCCAGATTTAGTTAAGAGTCCAGTCTCACCCCACACAGGCCTCCACTGGGATCTAACTTAACTACATCTAACAACATCCCAGTCTTTTTGGAATATCTGCTTTGTTTCTCATCACCTAGAGCTCAAGAATTTTAGCTCAGACTTCAAAACCTGTCCTGAGCCCTGGGGAAAGGCAGCCACACTTAGGAAAAAAAAAACAATCTCAGCAGGGTGAGGTAGTGCATGTCTATAGTCCCAGCACTCGGGAGACTGAGGGAAAATGAGACAGGGAAATTTGAGGCCAGCCTGGGCTACCTCCCAAGACCCTGTCCAAAAATAAATAAATAAATAAATAAAAAAAATCAGCCCCATTTATTGAGCTCCAACGGTGTGCTCAAGGCCTGGCACACCTCCAGCCCCTTTGGCTTTAGTTATTTTTCGAATAAGGTCTTGTGTTTTATTTGGCTTAGACTGGCCTGATCAAGCTGCTCTTAGTTACACCTCCCATGTAGCTGGGATGACAGGTGTGCACACCACCACACCAAGCTTGTTGATTGAGACGGGAGTCTCACTAACTTTTTGTCCAGGCTGGCCTCTAACCTTGATCTCCCCAATTTCTGCCTCCTGAGTTGCTGAATAGGCATGAACCACCACACCCAGCTGTGTGAGACTATTCAATTATCCAGCAAATCCAATAAATTGCTGAGCCCACTGGCTGGAAAGCCCTTGCTATAGTTTGGATCTGCAAAGTCTCCAACAGCCCATGTGTTAAAGTCTCAGTCCTCAGCTTTGGTGCTATTGGGAGGTGGTGCCTAGAGGCAGGAGTTAGGTCATTGTGGGAGTGTCCTTGAAGGGGAGAGTGAGACCTCTGTCTGTCTTCTCTTTTTGCTTCCCAGCTGCCATAAGGCAAGCAGACTCCTCTGTCACTTGCCACGTGCTCCACCTTGATGTGCTGCCTTGTCCCAGGCTCAGAAGCAGTGAATAAAATCTCCAAAACTGTGAGCCAAAATAAACCTGTCTTTTTTAAAAGTTGTTTCATCTCAGATATTTTGTTACAGTAATGGAAAGCTAACATAGCCCTCTTCCTCACTTAAAAAAATCAGATGAACTCCTACTCATGCTTCGAGGGCCAATTTTAGCATTTCCTCACCTGTGCAACTGTCCTACACCCCCCCATCTCACTCCAGAGCCATTATTGTCCCCTCTGGACTCCCTTGGCCTGGATCCCCCTGACCACACAAGGCTGGTCATGTCTGAATCCCTGAGGGGAGGGTCACAGGACCTTCTTACCTAGGAAGGCCTCAGTGAACTCCTTGGTAGCATGGGAGGCCACCTGGGCCAGTTGTTCTTGGGTCATGTTCTGTAGCTGGGGGTGTCCAGGTTCCAGCCTCTGTAGCAGAATGAGTGTTCCCCACACCTGCTGAGTCAAGTCTGAGACTGAAGTCAGAGCAGCTCCTTTCTGCCGACGGAAATTGCTGCGGAACTCTGGGTCCCCAGACACCTCAGCTCCATAATACTGGCTCAGCAGCTGGCTGAAAGGTGGCCGGGGCTCAGGGATCTGGCTCAGGTGGTCTCCAAGGAGGGCTCCATCCAGGGCACCATTGAGGAAGGCCATGGTGACCATCGATGCCTTGGGGTTCAGCAATGTGAAGGTCTGAGGGACAGAGACCTGATCCCAGCAGCCTTCTGTTCCCAGGCCAGGGTGGCTCTGAGTCTGGGGGGATTGGAGGAAGGTCAGGCCCAGGTCTCCAGCTAGGGTAACAGCCAGGATGCTGTCTACAGTTGTGGGGGGCTTGGCTTTGTCATTTGGTAAGACAGTTCTGACATTTGGAGAGGTGACATCTGGAGAAGCATCCCTGAGTCCTGGCAAGGTGTCTCCAGTATCCCAAGGGGTGGCCTGGCTGGCCAAGGACAAGTTCACAGCCCTGCGCCCCTGCAGCCCAGCCTCCAGTCCAGCTAGTAGAGGCTTCACAGCCACTGTGGAGCCATCAGGGGCCAGCACCACTCCATACTCCTGCCCACCTCGTACATCATGTTGGGTCACCCTGTTGATCAAGTCTTGAAGCTGTGGGCTCAGTGAGTGAGGAACCAATTTGACAGCTTTGAGGCTTGGAGCTCCCAGCAGGAAGTGGTGGAGAGGATTGTGGGGGTTGGAGTCCTTGGTTGGTAGACTCTGTGCAGAGGCCCCTCTGCTGGCCTCCATCACTGGAGCCTTCTGCTCAAGCTCAACCAGAGCCTGGATGACAGAGTCCATAACCAGGGGCAATGAGGCTGCAGGAGGAGAGAACACATCAGCCAGGCAGCCCAGTCTCACCTGTCCCTCAGCCTCTCCCTGCTGATTTCACATCTTCCCAAGGTCCTTCGCTCTCCATCACACAACTACAAAGCAGTAGAGGCAGGATTTGTACCCATGAAGTTGCTTTTTTTTTTGAGATAGGATCTCATTATATAGCCTTCCTTCCTTCCTTCCTTCCTTCTTTCCTTCCTTCCTTTGGTGCTGGGGTTTGAACTCAGGACCTACATCTTAAGCCACTCCACCAGCCCTTTTTTTTGTGGTGGGTTTTTTCAAGATACAGTCTCATGAACTATTTGCCCCAGCTGGCTTTGAATCGAAAACCTCCTGATCTCTGCCATCTGTGTAGCTAGGATTACAGGCCTGAGCTACTTGCACCTGGTTGCTGGCCTTGAACTATCAATCCCTCTGACTCCACCTCCCAAGTGCTGGGTAGACAAGTGTATGCCACTAGGCCTGGCTTTTCCAGAATTTCAATCCCTACACTCTGCTGTTTAGATCCTGGTTCTTTCCCCCACAGTCCATTTTGTCTATTTTGTAATTCCTCTACAACTTTTTCTTTCTTTTTTTTTTTCTTCAGAATTGGGTTTGAACTCAGGACTTTGTGCTTGTTAGGCAGGTGTTCTACCACTTGAGCCATGCCTACAGTCCTTTTTCTCTGGTTATCTTTGAGATAGGGTCTTGCTTTTTTTCCTGGGTTGGGCCTTGACCTCAATCTTCCTATTTATGCTTCCTGCAGTAGCCGGGAGGACAACACTCAATCACATCCAGCTTTTTCTATTGAGATAGGGTCTCTCAAACTTTTTGCCCAAGATCCTTTCAATCTCAGCTTCCCAAGTAGCTAGGATTACAGGCCACTGGTGTCTGGTTTATAACTTTGTTCTTTTCTGTCTAAAATGTCCTTTCTAGCTTCACCAAACACAATGCTCCTTCTTCCTATCCTAATTCTGTGATTTCCTCCTGTGGAAGCCTCTATTTTTGGTCTCCAGATCCCAGGTTCTTTCCCCAAATCCCTTTCCCTAGCCCTGCTTTGACTCTATGGGTCTGAGAACATCTGAAACCCCAGACTGGAGCTTCCTGGAGAGCTAGGGCCTGCTGGGGTTGCCTCACCCCACCCAGGGCTATTGTGACTTCTGCAGATCTCAGAGTCTCACCCAGGTGTCTGACTTCTGACCCACCTGTGCCCAGTTCTGTCCACAGCAGTAGTCCAAGCACGGTCCACAGGACACCGTGGGCCATTGTTATGGAGTTTCAGCTTCTAGGGGACAAGCCTGGCTGACCTCAGCAGAGAACCTCAGCCACACTCAGGCATGGAGAACTGAATGTAGACTTCAGTCCCTGTCAAAGTCCAGCAGTGAATGACACAGGGTTGCCCCTTTGCAGAGCCGTGGGCGGGAGGCAGAGGGAGCATGGGAGCAGAGTGCCTTGGGTCAAGGGCATCAGGCCTCAAGCCCTCCTTCTCCATCCTATCCTGCCTTCCTGCTCCTCTCAAACTGACATCAAGAATCAGTGAGCCAGGCCCACTCCAGGAAGAGCTTGGAGGCTGGGTTGTTCATTGTGCAGCATTTTTTTGTTTTGAGACAGAGTCTCTTTATGCAGAGTAGGCATGCCTTTAATGTACTATGTAACCCAGCCTGGCCTTGAATTCTCAAGCTTCCTGACTCTTCTTGTGGAAGTGCTGGGATTACAGATGTGCACCACCATGCCCAGCTATTCCACAACAAACTCTGACTTTTTTTTGCTGTACTGGCGTTTGAACTCAGGGCCTTGTGATTGCTAGGCAGGTGCTTTCTACTACTTGAGCCATACCCCCAACCATCTATCCATTCTTGAGAGAAGTAAATGGAGGCCAATCTAGCAGGCTCTGCCCCCGCCCTACACGGACAACTCCAATAGCTGCTGCTGGCCACCTGAGGAGACTTTCAGCTGCCTGGTAAGACAGACTGTGCTGGAAGAGACAGCTTTTAGTTTCTGACACTGTAACAAAGTACCTGAGATAATCAAATTATAAAGACGATAGATTTAGATGGGCGCCAATGGCTCACATCTGTAATCCAGCTACTTAGGAGGCAGAGATCAGGAAGATCAAAGTTCAAAGCCAGCCTGGGCAAATAGTTCTTGAGAACCTGTCTTGAAAAAACCCATCACAAAAAAGGGCTGGTGGAGTGGCTCAAGGTGTAGGCCCTGACTTCAAACTCTAGTACCTCAAAAAAACCCAAAAAAGATAGGTTTATTTTGGCTCACAGTTTTGAAGGATTCAGTCCTTAAATCAATTGATTAGGTTGCTCTTGGGCCTATTGTGAGGAGGGAAGAGGATGTGATGGAGAAGGGGGGTTCACCTCATGGGAGGTGGGAAGCAAAAAGAGAGACAGGAAGAGGCCCAGGTCCCATTTCCCTCACGCACACTCCTCCAGTGACCTAATGGCCTAACTTCACCTCATCTACAGCTCTTAAAGGTTCCACCACCTCCCAACAGTGACATGGGCTGGGGACCAAGCCTTCCACACATGGGTCTTTGGGGGACATTCCAGATCTAGGCTATAGCAAGCAGAGAAAAGCGGCTGTGGTTGGCCCCACCCTCTTCTTCCTGCACTGCTGACACTCCAGGCTCAGCAGGAGCAATTGTCTTTTCTGAGACTTACTTCAAGCCCATGGGGACCAGGTGACCTCAGCACTTACCCATTTCCAGCCCCTGATCCAAAGTCACCAGATGTAGCTGAAAGCAGGGGTTGGACCCAATCTTGGGGACCCTGGTTTGTTCTAGGAGCTGGGCTCACCTGCATTGATAGTGAGGGATCCTCTTTTCTGGGTGTTGTGGCTGAGTCCTACTGAGTTGGCTTGTGTTCTCTCAATCTCTCTCTCTCTCTCTCTCTCTCTCTCTCTCTCTCT